GTAAGGTGGTAAATAGCGGATAATGATAAAGTATTGACCGTTGAAAAAAAAAATTCAATCTCAAAATTTAATTATTTTTTGTACAACTAATTATTAACTAATATTCGTTACTAAATATAAGTAAAACTAATTTATGTTTGAAAATCATTATTTTTGCTGTTTTATAAAATACATATTAAAAAATAAGTAATTCTTAATTTAATAGATTTAAAATATATTTCTGTTTCAAGTTTTCAATAAAACGTATTTGTTAGTATTTTTTAAAGCATTATGTTTAGTTCGTGAATCTCAGTGTGAATAAGCTCCGACACCGAACCAGTTTTGAATGAACTATACAGGGTGTTTGTAAATAAGTGCAAAGGGGGTGGTTGCCGAAGTTATTTTGTGAAAAGAAAGTTCATATAAACGTAGGTCGAAATATGCTTTGTTTCCGAGATACAGAATGTTTAAATTTTAATTTTAATTATTTCAAAGAATTTTGAACATCCTGCATCTCGAAATGGAAGATTTTTTTACCTACATTCATATCAACTTTTTATTTGCAATGTAGAATTTTTACTTTGACCACGTTTTATTAAAAGAGACCCTTAATTAAAAGATTAACAAAACATACAATAAAATATGTTTTATTTTTTTCCTCAAAAACGGCGCATCCTACGAAAACAATTGAAGATACCAATTTCATTCAGAATTAATGACGGATTTCTAAAAAAATATCAAAACGGAAAAAAGTCGATGGTGTACCATTAATTTTTATTAAAAAAAGTTGTGGTATTGTCGCACGAACACCACTGATGCAAGTAGAAATATTCGGATCACCCCAAAAAATGCCCATTTGTCCTTCCAAAGCATGTTTCAAATTTCGAGTCAACATCTTTAAAACTCTGAAATAATAAAAATAAATAAAAAATTAAAATTTAAACATTCTGTATCTTGGAAACGAAGCATATTTCGACCTACGTTTATATGGACTTTTTTCCACAAAATAACCGGCAACCACCCCCTAAAATATTTCGCACTTATTTACAAACACCCTATATATCCATACACCTGCATGTAACGAGCGTTCAAATAAAAACGTGGTCGAAGTTGGCTCTGACACATTGGACGTAGGGAGTAGCTTATAGCGACCAACTTAACCTCATTTCTCAACGANCTTTTTAAAACGAAAATATTCAAATTGATAGCGGCGATATAGCGCTTTGACAGATGACGTTTAAGTTCATTTGCTATACGCTACGCCCTACGTCCAAATTTTCAGAACCAACTTGACCACGTTTTTATTTGAACGCTCGTTATATTCTGTGCACTGTAGAATTCCACATATCGATACAAATCAACATCATTGGTATTCTGTGCCTTCTTTCTACACCGCTCTGCCCTTTCCCCGCCTTACAGCGTAACTGTGACAGAGGCGATACGTAAAGACGTGTCGATTAATAGGAGAGGGAATTAAATAAAAAAATTAAATAATTAATTAAAAAATTAAAAAATTAATTAAATAAAAGAAAGAGAGACAATGAATAATGAAGAAATATTCCATAAATGGCATAAATACAAATATTCTGTGATCTGTGTTTTCTGTTTTGTGGTTTGTCATGGTTTTTACCATGGAGACTAGATAAGGAGCACGAACTCATACGGGAAAATTGACAAAATTTGTCCAAGAAATGGCAGAAGTTGGGGTGGCGCTAGTGTTCCATATGACCCAAATGAATGTAGCTTCATAAATACGAGTGAAGTAAGCAAATAACCAATTTTATTTTATTTATATTGACATATTGGGGAGCGGGGTGGTATACTAACCTAAAAACTAGAAGTCAAGTCAATAATTTGTTTTTATAAATGGTAAATAAAAAGTTTCGAAAATAGTTTAAATATGGTAATAGTATGTGAAGTGAATGACTGTCAACAGGTTTAAAATAAAACAGTACGTTTGTGATCTGCATTTTCAATCTAATGATGTCCAGCAGTTCTATATTACAACTTGACTGAATAGTGGGTTAATAATATTATGGCAAAAAGTCGAATAATTCGGAAGATGGAAGCAGCTTCTTTGATTCTTAATATGGTAGAGAAATTTTTAAATAGAAAGATTTCATAAGTGAAAAAATATTGTATAATTGAATCAACAGCAAGAGCATCCGCTACACCAGCAACAGGTGCAGCAGCTACAACAAAAGCAACAGTTACAACAACAACAACAAGAACATCAAGTGAATCAAGAGNAGGTCGGTGATTAAAAGGAAAGAAAGGGATTCTTTCCAGGTAGCCTTAATAAAGGCAGGTAGAATTTGCTCCTTGCACTACACTTTCACAAAACACGTGTGCTCTGGTCGGCTGCCCGCTAGGAACTGAGTCAAATCGGTCGACTCTAGCGTGACCACAAAACATCAAAGGAACCGCCGATTCTGTCGCTTCTCGTTGGTATAGTGTTCTCTGGTAAAATCATAATATTTTCGTATAAACTTGGAGACACAATTGATCAGGATAACAGAAGGTTGAGAAGGTAATTTGCTGCTCTTGATAGAAAACACCTGTTGCGCTTCATGCTCTCCTGATACCAAAATTTTATGTTATCTAGTGATGGGCATAATCGACCAATTTTGATAATCGAGTTATCGGTAATCGAGTGATCACTCGAGATACGAGATATTGGTCGTTTTCATCCCAGCGGCGCACAAATATGTTTGTATTAGTCATATATTACTTATAAGCGTAGCTAAAAAAAAAAAAAGCTCACGCACTTCAAAACCTAACCACTTTTTCGTTTTATTCTAAAAAAAAGGTTACGCAATCAGTGACTATTTGCAGTATGCACTAACATTTTGGGGTGCAACCGTAGGGTAATAATCACTCGAGTGGTGGGAGTAAACATCTCGAGATATCTCGAGTGATCTCAATAATCGAGTACCACTCGATTTTTCACTCGAAATCTCCCATCACTAAT